CCCCCCCCCGCACACACGTGTTGGTAATGCCCGCCTTCCTCTCTACTCAGAGGAAGACTTTGGATCTACAACCGGCCACTCCATCCAGCGGTAAAACCCTACCTATCCCGGTGCAGATTACCCTCCGTTTTAACCTATCTAAAGAGAGGGAGGCCATCCCTGGCTCGCCCGACCAACCCCTCTCCTCCAGCTCCTGCGTCCAGCCAAACCATCGTTCCACGGTACAAAACTGGCACTCGGCCGCCACGGCTCGTTCCTTTGATTTGTCTCGTTTGCTCGGCCCGTTTTCTCAAGAGGCCGCACCAGCTGGGGAGGGGTTGAGTTAGGTCTGGGCTAGCGAGGGAGACCTCCGTGGGGAGGGGGTGGTTGGGTGTGGGTGTACCCCCACTTCTAGGGCCCCCCGAGTCCAGGGCCCCCCCCCACTTCCCTCCTGAATCAAACCAGAACAGGACCAAAAAACAAAAAAAAAAAAGGATTTAAGAGAGCAGGCCTGGCTCGGCTGGATGTTAAGTTTTAAACCACAGAGGAAAAGGGCGTGGTGTTGCGTTACCTTTAAGCCACAGGTGAATCGTGCTAGGCTTGCTTAAACAGGTAGTCCTCGACTTAGCGACCGCAGTTTCCCGAAGTTTCCCGAGGCCGTGGTTAAGGGAGTTTCGCCCCCCCCCACCCCGTTTTACTACCGTTGTAACTTCGAAACGGTCCGTAAGTGAATGGTTGTAAAGTCAGGGACTGACCTGTACGAAGTTTAAGGCAGAAATGGAATGGGCTTGACCCTGAATATGAAGAATTTGACAGCCGTAAATTGTTTGTGGCGCAGTGGTCAGAATGCAGTATGGCGGGGCTCGCTCTGCCGACTGCCAGCAGTTCGATCCTCACTGGCTCAAGGTGGGCTCAGCCTTCCATCCTTCCGAGGTCGGTAAAATGAGGAGGACCCAGATTGTTGGGGGCAAGAGGCTGACTCAGTATACCGCTTAGAGAGGGTTGTAAAACACTGTGAAGCAGTATATAAATCTAAGCGCTATTCCTGTTGCTATTCTCTTCTGTTCTATGTTTTGTTCTAGTCTCTTCTATATTCTATTAATCTCTTCTCTATTCTATTCTATTGTATTCTGAACCTATTCTATTCTATATTCTATTCTATATTCTATTGTATAATCTATTCTATTAATCTATTCTATATTCTATTCTGTTCTATATTCTATTCTGAATTCTATCCTATCCTATCCTATCCTATCCTATCCTACTATTAAATTATTCTGTTCTATATTCTATTCTTCATCATTCCATTCTATTCTATTCTGGTGTTTTTCCATCTTCTGTACCCTTTCCCAGCTGTGGCAGACCCAACTTTTTAACCCCTCCTCAGCCACAGAACCGAAGTTTGAGTCAGTCCCTCCTTTCTCAGCCCACCCCACCATCAGGATGGGTTCGATGAGGAAGGGGCTGCGCTAAGGGAACGGGAGACCCGGGTTCAAATTCTGCCCTGGAGCTCCCTGAGTTGACATTGGATCCAGTCACACTTCCTTATCCCAAGCTACTTAGGATAATACTTACGTAGGGAGCCTCTGTGGCGCAGCGGTTAGAGTGCAGTACTGCGAGCACCTTCTGCAGCCAGCTGCCTAGAGTTTGGCAGTTCAAATCCCACCAGGGTCCTTCCCAGGTGGGTAAAATGAGGACCCCGATTGTTGCAGGGGATAGGCTGACTCTGTAAGCCACTTAGGGAGGGCTATAAAGCACTATAAAGTGGTATATAAGTCTAAGTGCTTTTGCTAAGTGCTACTTCCCGGCGTTATGGAGGAATCTCGGGCTCCCAACGCTGTTTTGTGTACTATTTTGAGTTGCCAAAAAAGAAAATTAAATCGATAAGGCCAGACCCACTCAAGCCCTGAACCAACGTCACCATACCACCCCTACTGGTGGGGTTCAGTGTCCAGGGAGGCCAGGCCGTTCTTCTGAGGGGCCTTTGTGTGCCTTTCCTTTCTCCAGACGGGGAGAGACGGGTTTACAGGTAGTCCTCGACTTAACGGCCACAGCTGAGCTCAAAACCTCTGCTGCTAAATGAATTCCCCCCCCCATTTCCCCCCACCTGGATGACCACGGTCATTAAGCGAATCACTGCGGTGCTTCAGTGAGTCACGCCGTTAAGTGAAACGGGCTCCCTCACCGACTTTGTCAGTAGGTCGCAAAAGGGGATCATGTGACAGACAGACAGACACACAGACAGACAGAGGACACATCATCCTAAATACGAGTCAGTTGCCAAGCGGCTGAATTTTGACCACGTGCCTGTGAGGATGTTGCAACGGTCATAACGGCCAAAGGCTCACAACTCGCTGTTTTCAGTGCCATTGTGACTTCGAACGGCCACTAAGTGAACTGTTGTAAGTCGAGGACTGCCTGTAGTCTTGTGTGAAGCAGCTTTCCTAAGCTACCCCTATCAGTCAAAGTTGTGGTGGTACAAGGATAGGTTTCTAATAGGTGGGCAAGGGTAGAATCAGAGTCCCATCCATCTTTCTGAGGCATTAGATCAATCTTTCTTAACCTCAGCCACTTTAAGATGGGTGGACTTCGATTCCCAGAATCCCCCAGGCAGCTTGATTTAAGATGGGTGGACTTCAACTCCCAGAATCCCCCAGGCAGCTTGATTTAAAATGGGTGGACTTTGATTCCCAGAAATCCCCAGGCAGCTTGATTTAAAATGGGTGGACTTCGATTCCCAGAATCCCCCAGGCAGCTTGATTTAAGATGGGTGGACTACAACTCCCAGAATTCCCCAGGCAGCTTAGATGGGGGACTACAACTCCCAGAATTCATTCCCCAGCCAACAAGGTGATTGAGGGATTCTGGGAGTCGAAGCTCACCCATCTTAAATCAAGCTGGCTGAGGAATTCTGGGAGTTGAAGTCCACCGTCTTAAAGTTGAGAAGCTCTGGGCTCCAGAGAGAGCCCAGCCAATCCATCAGAGGCCTCGTAGGATCCCTCTTCTCACCTCCAACTTCAATTCACCTGGACAGTAGTGGCAGAAACTCCTGCAGGCCAAACCCTCCCACCACATCCGGTCTGAGTCTCCCCATTTTTTGCGGTGCTGGTGGAACCTTGGGGAAGGGAAGAAGAGAGGAGGGGGAGGAAGGAAAGGAAGAGGAGGCAGGCTGCCCCCTAGAGCTTGTCTGCTTTGGTCTCTTCCAGAAACGGAAGGTGGAGGTGGTCTCTCCCGCGACCCCCATCCCTGTTGTGAGCGAGACGACCCAGGCCTCGGTTTTTCCCCAGGTAAGTGCACAAAAAGGGAATACAGGTGCGATGTACGGCCGCCATGGAGCCCAAAGCTTTTGTGGCTAAAGCGAGACATTTGCGCAGTGAAGTTTGGGACTTTCTCGCCACCGTTGTATAAGTGAATCGCTTGCCGTTGCTAAGTGAGCAACGTGGTTGTTAAGTGAATCCGGCTTCCCCCATTGACTTTGCTCACCAGGAGGTCGTAAAAAAGGTGATCGCGTGACACACTCGATCACCTGAGGAATGCCGCGACGGTCGTAAGTGTGAAAAACGTTCCTAAGTCACTTTTCCCGGGGCCGTTTTAACTTTGAGCAGTCACTAAGTGAATTGCTGTCCATGCTCTTTGCTGAGGCTTATGGAGACGCTCACAAACACACGTTAGTCCCCTTTTTTCTTTATTTCAACGGCTGTGAATTTTAGTCATTCCCTGCCCGTAATGAGTCTCACAGTTTGTAAATAGTCCCACGGAAGCCTGCCAAAATCCTTCGGGATAAGTCTGATAATCACGCACCTTTATCTCCCTTGAAATGCTGCCAGCGACTAAATGTCCAATTAGTTATACGAGGCCAACTGGAGCACAAATTCAACACCGAGCTTCAGGCTTCAAACCGACCAGTACGAACAAAGTTGCTTCCTGCAAAGGCTCCTGTCCCTTTGCTCCTCCTTTATGTCTTATGGGAGGGGCCAATCACCTCCAAGCCTTACTCCCGAGCCGCCCCTTTTGTCTTAGCTGCTCTTGCCTTCTGGCAGCTCTGCGCATACGCACACTGGGAACAGGCTCCCCCTGTTCCTCTTCCTCGCTGCTGCCAGATTCTGGAGGTTCCAGAGTCAGCACATAACTCCCAGATGGCCTTGGCCCCATCTCTGTATTGGATGCAGGATCCTTGTCCGAGCCCTCCCCAGACTCCCGGACTGACCCCTGTTCCTCCACACTGTCCGACTCTGCTGCCGTCTCCGCAGGCTGCCGGTGGACCACAACAGATGCATCGGTGCTGGGCATGACTCAGGGGGATTCTAGCCTGCCCCACATTGAGATCATCCAGTGGAGAAAAGCTGAGCCAAAGGACCCCCCTGGTTCCACACACACACACCCCGGGGTCTTTTGTAGCTCTTTGGTTGGACAGCTGCACCTTCTGGGGATCTTATGGCCTTCAAAGCCGTTTTTGACCATATCGGAGCTGTAGAAAGACCCCCCAAACTTTCCCTTCAGATGTCTCCTCCTGCAGTCAACTCATAATGTCAGGTCTCCAAGTGATGAAATCCATTTAAAAAGAAAAGAGCAAAGTCCGTCTTTCAAAACAATTTATTTTATTTAGGAAAGCATCAAATTGGCAAAGTCCGTGGTAATTCCGGATCTGACACAACCTGGAATTACCCCACAATATTACAAGTTAGAAACAACCCCCCCAAAGTCACATTCTCCAACAGAAGTAATTCAACGTTGCTTGATGTCATAAATCTCCCCACCAAGGGACCCCAGTACGGACAGTTTTAATCAGAGTCTGTACAGGGAACAACGGTTCTCTAAGACACGGGGGGGGAAAGTGACTTCTTACGAACGTTTTTCACACTTAACGTCCGTGGCAGCACCCCTGTGGCCCTTCAATTGACATTCAGATCTTCGGCTCACAGTTGCGACCGTTGCAAGGTCAACAGGGGGAGGCCAGATTCCCTTAACAATCACCTTGCCTAACTCTACAACCACAACGATTCCTTAAAACGACGGGAGGCAAGAAAGCTCGTAAAAAAATAAAAACAAAACGGGAGAAATCTCACTTAACATAATGTCTCGCTTAGCAGCGGAAACTGGATTGCGGGTTGTCATTCAAGGTTGTCATTGCGGCGCCCTCCTCTTTTCCAGAATGGCTCCGCCCGCCGAGCCGTAGCCGCCCAGCCGGGCCGGAAGAGGAAATCCAACTGCCTCGGGACAGACGAGGTACATATCCGGGCCAGGGAGTCGGCGGCGGCCGTCTCCGTTGGCCACTTGGGAGGGGAGCCCGCCTGGCTGCTTCTCCCATCCCGAAACGGAAACCCCCCCCCTCCCTTTTCGGTTCTCGCAAGCAGGACTCCCAGGACAGCTCGGATGGGATCCCGTCGGCGCCGCGCATGACGGGCAGCTTGGTCTCGGACCGCAGCCACGATGACATTGTCACCCGCATGAAGAACATCGAATGCATCGAACTCGGGCGCCACCGCCTGAAGCCCTGGTACTTCTCGCCCTACCCTCAGGAGCTGACCGCCCTGCCTGTCGTCTACCTCTGCGAATTCTGCCTTAAGTATGTCAAGAGCCTCAAGTGCCTCCAGAGGCACCTGGTAAGGGGATCCTCCTTTCCTGCGTGTCCCCCCCCCCAAGTCCAGTCTTGGGTCAAAGTGGTTCCCGTCCCCTTGTAAGCCCTTCCGTTCTTTGCAACACCCCCATGTCAGCTGGAGGGTAGCAGCGGCACGTAGACCTATATGCCGCTTCACGTTGCTTTTATAGTCTCCGCTAAGCGGTTTTACAGAGTCAGCCTCTTCCCCCCAACCATCTTGGGTCCTCATTTTGCCCACCTCGGAAGGACGGAAGGCTGAGTCAACCTTGAGCTGGTCAGGATCGAACTGCTGGCAGTGGGCAGAGTTTGCATTCTAACCACTGGGGAGGAGGGAGGAAAGGGAAGGAAGGAAGGGGAGGGAGGGAGGGCAGGTAAATAGCACTTCACAGTCTTGACATGCCTCTAAGTCAGTGTTTCTCAATCTTAAGATGCGTGACTTCAACTCCCAGAATTCCCCAGCCAGCTTTGCTGACTGGGGAATTCTGGGAGTTGAACTCCACGCAACTCAAGGTTGGGAAACCCTGCTCTAAGTGGTTTACAAAGTCAGCCTCTTGCCCCCCAACCATCTTGGGTCCTCATTTTGCCCACCTCAGAAGGATGGAAGGATGAGTCAACCTTGAGCCGGTCAGGATCGAACTGCTGGCATTGGGCAGAGTTAGCCTGTAATGCTGCATTCTATCCACTGTGTCACCACGGCTCATCCACTCTTCCATCATCCCCAGCCCCACCTAGCTGCTCTTTCCTGGCAGCAGTTCTGTCTGTCTCTTAGTTCTGGCTTCAGTGTAGTTTTTAAAATCATCTTCTCTCTTTTAACCTTTCTTCTGTTTTGACTTAAAATCTTCATCTCTGCAGTTTTAATGTTTTAACCTCCTCCTATTTAATTTAAAATCTCCACCTCTGCAGTTTTATTGCTTTAATCATTCTTCTCCTTGTTTTATAACTTTATTAAGCTGCCCAGAGTCGCCTTAATAAGGTAGATGAGCGGCATAAAAACTTAACGTGTAAACAATACACAGGCAGTCCTTGACTTAGCAACCATTTTTCTTTGTGAGAAAGACACCCAACTCTGTGGTTTTCCTCTCTGCAGATGAAGTGTGACTTGAGGCACCCTCCGGGCAACGAAATCTACCGCAAAGGAACCATTTCCTTCTTTGAGATCGACGGCCGGAAGAACAAGGCAAGAAAGATGCCCTTAGGGCTACATCTGGTCTTCTGCAGCCTGGAAGCCACCTGGTGCATTGGGACTACGTTTCCCAGAGTTCCTTGCGGATCCTCTGAGGGGGAAAGCTCCATTTTACTAGATTTGTCCTATTGGCACATCTGGGAAAACCAGAATCTGAGGATTCCAGGTTTTCCCTTCCCAAAAGAAAATCAAGGATTTTCTTTTTCCTTCACGTGGCCCAAGCAAACCAACTGGAGCCATCCTTCCAGCCATTCCCCTCCAGGTGCAGGGCAACATGTCCTTGACTCTCTGAGAAAGGATGTCGTTGAGTCTCATCTCCCACCTCACTATGAAATCCCCCCTCCCAAATCCCCAGGCCCTAAATGTGGCAGCATCGAAAGTCTGCTCTCACCCATGTTAAGCATGCCATTTTCTGTATTTATTTCAATTCTGGATATTTAGTTAATGAGCTCTCGTATAAAGGGACGCAGTGGCTCAGTGGCTAAGACGCTGAGCTTGTCGATCAGAAAGGTCAGCAGGTTGGCGGTTCAAATCCCTAGCATAACGGAGGGAGCTCCTGTTCCTTGTCCCAGCTTCTGCCAACCTAGCAGTTCGAAAGCATGTAAAAAAGGCAAGTAGAAAAATAGGGACCCCTTTGGTGGGAAGGGAACAGCGTTCCCTGCGCCTTTGGTGTGTCTGGATTCCGGCTGTTACCCCCATTTAAATCATGAGTCTCGAGCCAAACTTCCAAAGGGGATCACGTGACTCCATCACAAATACGCGCCAGTTCCCAAGCATCCAAATTTGGATTCCCATGACCAGGGGGATGCGGCCATGGTTATACATATAGAAATCAGTCGTACATTACTTTTTTTCCCCCAGTGCCGCTGTAACTAAGAACGGTCGCTAAACAAACCACTTATAATTCGAGGACTCCATGTCCTCTTGTTCCCGTCCTTAGTCAAGTTCTCGACGCCCCAAAGGAATGGGTTAAATCCGAACTTCCAACAGTGTATTCATCCTGTCCCCTCTTTTATTCTTTCCTTTTTCCTCTTCTAGAGTTATTCGCAAAACCTTTGCCTTCTGGCAAAATGTTTCCTCGATCACAAAACCCTCTACTACGACACGGACCCCTTCCTCTTCTACGTCATGACCGAATACGACAGCAAAGGCTTCCACATCGTCGGCTATTTCTCCAAGGTGCGTCTCTGCTCGATTCCCCCAAAAATCAGTTTTTCTGTTCCAGCGCTGCCGTTTGCATTCTCTCACTCTCTCTGTATGGAGAGCCAGGGGATCAGTGTGCAGTGTTTAAGCACACGTATTTCAGCATTAAGCTTTGCACGGGATGGTTTTCCACGCTTTTACGCCCTGAAAGTCAAAAGTGGCAAAGAATTGGGGGTGTCAGTCAATCAGGATAAGAGCTGCAAGGGACCTTAGAGGTATAGAATAAGAATAAAAATAAGAATAGAATAGAATAGAATAGAATAGAATAGAATAGAATAGAATAGAATAGAATAGAATAGAATAGAATAGAATAGAATAGAACAGAATAGCAATAGCAATAGCAATAGCAATAGCAATAGTAATAGTAATAGCAATAGAAGAGAATAGAATATCAGAATATAGAATAGAATAGAATGTAAAATAGAATAGAACAGAATAGATGTAGAGGAGAAGAGAGAAGAGAGAATAGAATAGAAATAAGAATAAGATAGAACAAGAATACAGAATAGAATAGAATAGAATAAACAGAATACAATATAGAAGAGAAGAGTAAAGAAGAGAAGAGAATAGAATAGAATAGAAATAAGAATAGAATAGAATTGGGAATAGAATAGAGTAAGAAATAGTATAGAACATAATAGCAATAGCAATAGAATAGAATAGAATATCGGAATAAAGAATAGAATAGAATGTAGAATAGAGTAGAGTGGAGTAGAATAGATGTAGAGAATAGAGAAGAGAAGAGAAGAGAAGAGAGAATAGAACAACAAGAACAGAATAAGAACAGAATAGATGTAGAGGAGAAGAGAGAAGAGAAGAGAATAGAATAGAATAGAAATAAGAATAGAATAGAACAAGAATACAGAATACAGAATAGAATAGAATAGAATAGAATAAGGAATAGAATAGTTGGCCAGCCTTTTCTTAAAAACCTCCAGTGATGGAGCACCCGCAACTTCTGCCGGAAAGCTGTTCTACGGCTGAATTGTTCTCACTGTCAGGAAATCCCTAGGTTGCTTCTCTCCTTGGTTAGTTTCCATCCACCTAGTCAGCTACAACAGCTAAAGCCAGGACTAGAACTCACCATTTCCTGGTGATTGAGCCAGTCATCCAGATGGCTTTTTTCTTTTCTTTTCCTAAGGCGGGACTAGAACTCCGCTGTCTCCCGGTTTCTAATGTGGCACCTTCACCACTAGACTAAACTGGCTAATTCGCTTCTTGTTTGAAACTCTTTATGTCAGAGGTCTCCAGACTTGGCAACTTTAAGACTTGTGGACTTCAACTCCCAACAAGCTGTCTGAGGAATTCTAGGAGTTGAAGTGTACAAGTCTTAAAGTTGCCAAGTTTGGAGACCTCTGCTTTATGTGATAAAAGCCAGGGAAACTTGGCTTGTCAGGCCGGTCTGCCTTTGGCCAAAAATCTTGGCCAGGTTGGAATGAGAAAGGCCCGATCCTTAAACCCCGTTTGTGTCATTCTTCCTTGCAGGAAAAGGAATCCACCGAAGATTATAACGTGGCCTGCATTCTGACATTACCTCCCTATCAGAGACGGGGTTATGGCAAGCTATTGATTGAATTCAGTAAGTGAGCCTTCCTGTTTTGAATTAGCCTCAACTTACAACCATTCTTAGAGTGGCTGTTCACAATTACAACGGCACTCCAAAAAGTGACTTATGAATGAATGAATCGCTTTATTGGCCAAATGTGATTGGACACACAAGGAAATTGTCTTGGTGCAAATGCTCTCAGTGTACGTAAAAGAAAAGAGACATTCGTCAAGAGTCAAGAATCATCAGGTACAACACTTAATAATAGTCATAGGGTACAATAAGCAATCGAATCATATTAGGAAGCAGTCAGTATAGATCATAAGGATACAAGCGACAAAGTTACAGTCCTACAGTCACAAGTGGGAGGGGATGGGCGATAAGGAGTGATAAGAAGATTAATAGTAATAGTAGTGCAGATTTTGTAAATAGTTGGACAGTGTTGAGGGAATTACTTGTTTAGCAGAGTGATGGCGTTTGGGAAAAACTGTTCTTGTGTCTAGTTGTTCTGGTGTGCAGGGCTCTATGGTAAGAGTCTTCCAACTTGGCAAGTTTAAGATTTGTGGACTTCAACTCCCAGAATTCCTGAGCTAACATGACTGCAGGAGGAGGAATTATGGGAGTTGAAGTCCACAAGTCTTCAAGCTGTCAAGTTTGAAGATCCCTGACGTAAAGCGTCGTTTTGAGGGTAGGAGTTGAAAAAGTTTATGGACCTGTCCTGTCCTCACACTTACAACCAGCATCCTCATGGTCATGTGATCAACATTCAGACAACTGGCATGTATTTACAATTCAGGTAGTCCTCACTTAGGGACCGTATGAAGTTACAACGGCACCTGGGAAAAAAGTGACTTACGACTGTTTTTCACACTTACGACTGTTGCAGCATTCCCGTGGTCCTGCGATTTACATTCGGATGCTTGGCCACAGACTCAGACTTACGACAGTTGTAGTATCCCCATTGCATGTGGTTTTCATTCGGATGCTTGATAAGTGATTTGCATTTATGACGGTTGCACTGTCCCAGGGTGTGTGTGTGTGTGAGGTCATCCCCTTTTGTGACGACCTGGCAAGCAGAGTCAGTGGGGGGAATCCAGATTTGCTTAATGACCTGTGTTACTAAATTTAATCACTGCGGTGATTCGCTTAACGAACACAGCCAGAAAAGTCGCAAAATGAGACAAACCCACTTAACAAATGTTTCGCTGAGAGGGCGACCTAAATGTTGGGCTCAGTGGCGGTCGTAACTCAAGGACTACCGGCAATTGCATCTCGGGGTCAAGTGATCACCATTTGTAACCAACTCCAGCTGGCTTCCAACAAAACAGCGAATAGGAGAAGCTGGTTTAATGACCGCATGGTTCACTTAGCAGCGGCGGCAAAAAAGGTGGTAAAACGGGCCAAAGCTCATTTAAACATTGAAGTCACTAAACAACTGTGTTGCTTAGCAGTGGTAATTGTGGTTGTAAATAGAGCACCCCATGTACTTCAGTCCGCCCCAAACGATCCTGGATCTGTTTCTTAAAATCCTGGCTAGTTCTTAACTTGGTTCCGTCTTTCCAGGTTACGAGCTCTCCAAGGTTGAAGGGAAGACGGGTACGCCCGAAAAACCCCTCTCGGACCTGGGTCTCTTGTCGTACCGCAGCTACTGGTCCCAGACCATCCTGGAGATCCTCATGAATCTCAAACTGGAGAACGGCGAGCGGCCACAGATCACCATCAAGTGAGGGCCAAGATAGCAGGGGACGTGCGGAAACTGTAGGGAAGGACGGTTTTAATCCCCCCCAAAACTTGAGAGCGACCACCTGCCTAGCGTGACAAGTTGTTTGTGATGGGGGTTTCCCAGACTTGTCAGCAAATTGTGGTATCGGGGGAGACGGGGCGGAAACATAAGGCAAGGATGAAATACGGAAGATTCTCAAAAGAGCGGGTTGGACTAGATGACCTCTGTTTAGCTCCCTTCCCACTCGGTGACATTATACAGTCTGATCTTCTCATTCGGCTCCGTGATTTTATTTATTTATTTTTGGGGGGATTGCCGATTGGGCCCCCAAAAGCCGTTTCATTTTTGCCTTCTCCTGTTTGCCAACGGGGGGAGGGTTGGACTAGATGACCGCTCCACTCTCTGGCCTTAATTCAGTCTGATCTCTCCATTTGGCTCCATGATTGAGATAGATGATAGATAGATGATAGGTAGGTAGGTAGGTAGGTAGATAGGTAGGTAGATAGATAGATAGATACTGATAGATACTGATAGATAGATACTGATACCGATAGATAGATAGATATAGATACTGATAGAGAGAGAGAGAGATACAGATAGATTAGATAGATAGATAGATAGATAGATAGATAGATAGATAGATGATAGAGAGAGAGAGATAGGGATAGGGATAGATAGATAATACTGATAGAGATAGATTTATTTATTTCTTTGGAGGTTGCCGATTGAGCCAAAAAAGCAGTTTCATTTTTGCCTTCTCCTTGTTTGCCAACAGGAAAATCAGCAATTTTTTTGTCCCCAAAATGTAAGCAGCAAAATTGCCCCCAAATTTAGCTCTCCGTATTCATTGGGATGGCTCTCTCTCTCTCTTTTTTTTTCCTCAACACTGCTTTCTCCGATCCTGTCTTTCCCCAACTGAAGAATGTTGTGTTAAAATTTGACAGATCAAACTAATCATTACCCATTAAAGCGTTTTTCGTTTTGATTATTTTTTGGGTAACTAAAGTTACGAACAAAAGCCGCAATCCACTTTATTTTTTATATTACCAAGTCCAGCCATCCTCTGACCTAAAGTATCTAACCCAAATACCTAATCTACTGCCTTTGATATACCATGTTTCTTGTGACTGTTTTGGGATAGGGGTGGACAGGCCTTTTAAACTACCTTATCACCATTGTTAAAATCTTCATCCCTGTTAGGGATACACCCTAGCAGAATTTGCACGGCAGTCAGGCAGGCAGGCAAATATGTGAGATAAACGTTTTTGTAGCTTACACTCAGTAAAACAAATACACTGTGCTAGTTAAATAGTTTATTCCAGTAAGAGTTTTATCATAGTCAAACAGTCCATATATCATTCACTAGTTCAGTCCGTTCGGGGATTATTCAGTTGCAAAGTCCAGTGTTGAAAAAGAGGTTAGTAAACTTACAAATATCAGTCCAGTAATATATCTCCTCGCAGTAGAGATATAAAGAAGTCAAACCTCCTTTCTTCCTTCGACGTTCAAAAACTCAGCAGCAGGGAACACGCAGTTAGCAAACCATCAATCCAGCATAGTCAGCAATCCAGCAGGTTCTCTTGCTCCCTCTTATGGCGGTTTTACAACCGCACCCAAAATTACATGCTTTGCAGTTTAAAGTGACACGCACTTAAACTTACTATCATAGTTTATATATATTATTTTACCCAAACTACGTTAGGTAACCTTGTTATTCCTAACAATCCCAATTATGCAAACATGGGTTAGAGATCCATTTTGGATGGTGGAATCCTGGGAATCTGAAATGGCCTCTAAGCACAGCGGTTTCTCTTCCCATTCAGCATTTCAACTGTGTTTTCTTCCCCCGCCCCGTCTTTTCCAGCGAGATCAGCGAAATCACGAGCATCAAGAAAGAAGACGTAATCTCGACGCTTCAGTATCTGAACCTCATCAATTATTACAAGGTAAATTCACCATTCGGGGGCCCTTGATCGTGGAGAAGCAAGAAGCATTTGCATGGATGGCCTAGGTGGGGCTTCTTTGCCATTTTTTCTTTTGGTAAAGTTTTATTATTTTTAAACATACATCAGTACCATTCCGTGGACAGTGTGGTATCTGAGTGTCATTCATTTTGATACAAAAGCAATATTAATGCAGTGAGCATTATTACTAGATTAATCCGACTTACGTGCTCTAATGTTGTTATGCATAACTGTATCAGCACACAATCCTTCACTTTTTCAGTTATTCAATATTTGCTACATCCTTCTAATAGTAAGAGCGTTATTTTTGAGCAGCCCTAATAATATCCTTTTTCAAACTCTGCTCTTAGCCTCTAATATTCACTTTAATTTTTTTTTAAAGTTTTAAGTGTCTGGGTATTACCCTAAAAGAGGACCTGACCTGGGGTGCTCACATTGCAGCCCTGGTCAAAAGGGCCCAGCAGAGATTATACTACCTGAGGCTTCTCAGAAAACAACAACCAAATGGAAAACTTCTGGTGACCTTCTACCGCTGCACCATAGAGAGTATCTTAACTCACTGCACCTCTGTGGGGTTTGCCAACTGCACAGGGGCAGATAGGAAAGCAGTCCAGAGGGTGAACGTCATTGCCCAGAAGATCACGGGTTGCCCTCTCCCCTCTTTGGAAGAGCTTTATATCTCCCGCTGCCTTAAGAAAGTCCAAAACATCCTCAAAGATCCATCTCATCCTGGGAACCCTTTTTTTGAGCTATTACCATCTGGCAGACGGTACATGATAATAAAAACAAGGAGAAATAGGCTGAAACACAGCTTCTATCCCAGTAACTCTATTGAATTCTACTGTATAGTAAAATATTAATACAATATCAGGGGTTTTCAATTCAATGTATAGAATGCGAAGGATGTGGGTTTGTGTTTTATTTTCATAGTCATAAATTGTACACTGAAGATGTCATTGTATGAGGTGCAATGACAATAAAGTAAACTAAATTAAATGTGTTCAGTAAATATATGTAAAACAACATTCCCCCATTTCTAATTTTTTTATCTATTCTAATTTTTCATTTTGCCATTTTGATAAGATGTCATTTGGGGAGTTAGTTAATTTTTTCCAACAAAGAGGGTTAATGATGGTGTGAGGACCTAAAAATGGGATTAGCCTGCTTTTTTTAGAATACAATAGAATTCTTTATTGGCCAAATGTGATTGGACACACAAGGAATTTGTCTTGGTGCAAACATCGCTTTGCTTTTGCTGGTTTTTGCAAATGAGCATAATCCACATTTTTGGCAGCAATTGATAATAATGCAAGTAATGCTAATAATAATACAACCACTCATTTAGTGACTGTTCGAAGTTAAAACAGCACTGAAAAAAGGGACTTGTGACCGTTTTTCACACTTACGACCATTGCAACATGATCACAATAAAAGTCAGATGCTTGGCAACTCATATTGAGGATGGTCGCAGCCTCCCGGGGTCATTTGAACCCCTTTTACGACCTCCTGACCAGCAAAGTCAGTGGGGAAAGCCAGATTCACTTAACAACCGGGTTGCTATCTTAAACAACGGCAGTGATTCACCGAACTGTTTGCAAGAACGCCCGTAAAATGGGGCAACATTCACTCCACAGCTGTTTTGCGTAGTAATAGAAATGTTGGGCTCAGTTGGGGTTGTAAGCAAAGGACTAGTTGTATTTGTGATGAGAACTTAAGACTGTAAGTCAGAGAAGAGCAACCAAGATGATTAGGGGACTGGAGACTAAAACATACGAAGAACGGTTGCAGGAACTGGGTATGTCTGGCTTAACGAAAAGGAGGACCAGGGGAGACACGATAGCAGTAATTCCAGTATTTGAGGGGCAAATTCCCAAAGGGGAACAAATTATTCTCCAAAGCACAAGAAAGTAGGACAAGAAACGAGGGACGGAAGCTAATCTAGGAGAGATTAGCAACTCAAGAAATAGAACAGTTAACCAGTGAAACTGGTTTTGCCTCCAGAGGTTGTGGATGCTCCATCACTGGAGGTTTTAAAGAAAATATTGGACAACTATTCGTTTGAAATGGTATAGGGTTTCCCGCTTGAGCAGGGCGGGGGTTGGACTAGAAGACCTCCAAGGTCCCTTCCAACTCTGTTATTGTTATTCAATGAACCGGTGGGGCGGCTTCCCTCCAGAAGTTGGGGTTGCTCCATCACTGGGAGGCTCCCGAGAAGAGATCAGACGGGCATTTGTCTGAAACGATAACAGGGTCTCCCGCTTCGATCGGGGGGCGTGGGGTGGGGTCAGACTAGAAGACCTCCAAGGTCTCTTCCCACCTCTTTTTGTCGTTCCGTTTATTCCCCAGGGCCAGTACATCCTGACTCTCTCCGAGGACATTGTGGACGGGCACGAGAGGGCCATGCTGAAGCGGATCCTGCGCATCGATTCCAAGTGTTTACATTTCACCCCAAAGGACTGGAGTAAGAGAGGGAAGTGGTGAACTCAAAGGGCCCCTTCGACTGGCACAAAAGGACAGAATTTTTTTGGGGGGGCGAGGTTGGTGTCCCGGACCTCGGTGTACAGCGGTAAGCAGGACCGGGCTGACCTCCCTGCCCCTTAACCTCCCCCCCCCCACGGACTCTGAACCTTCCCGCCGCCTCCTGGATGGCCTTTTCGAGACGGGACTCCTCCGTGTACAGTAGTTGAAAAGCACAGACGGCTTGCGTTCGCCCTGCTTTTATCGGTCCAGACATTTCTGAATGCTGCCTCCCCCCCCCCCCCTTCCCCCCCCCCCCCCGAAGGCTCAGGGTTGGGGGCCGGGGGGGTTGCGGGGGGGGGGGGGGGCGGACGAGTCGCAAGGTGGAAGAATGGATTTGCGGGGTGCTCCTTCCCAGCGGCCAGAGGGAACCGATCCCTTCCAGCTGCTGATTCCGGAAGGGGTGTGTATGCAGGAGACACAGCACTCTGGGGCTGGAAACCCACCTCCCCCGGGGGGGGCGGGGGAAGAAGGCAGGACCCCTCCCATCGTTTCCCGCTCAGAAGAGGGTGTCCCGCGGGCCTCTGCGCCCAGGAAAAAGCCCCGAGAGCCGGAGACGAGACGCCTATTTCTCAAAGAAGCGACGACTTGCCTCATGTCTCTGATCGGAATAAATGAACAAAATCCTTTTTTTTTTAAAGGAAAAGAGACCCTTCCCTTGTTTTGCAATTATTTCTGTGGGGTTTTTTTTCTTTCTCTTCCCTCCTCTTCTCTCACTCCCTTTTTCATCACTTCTTCCCTTTAGCTCCTTTTCCCTTATCTATTTCTTTTTTCCCTCTTCTGTTTCCTTCCTTCTCTTTTTCTTTCCCATGTCTTCCTTTTTTCCTTTCCTTCCTTCTCCCTTTTCTTTTTTTCTTACCTCTCCTTTTCTTCTCATCTTTCTCCATTTGTCTCGTTCCTTTCCTTTCTTCCTCCCTTTCTCCACCCTCCTTCGCATCCCCTCTCCTTCCTTCCTTCCCCCCCACATTCCCTCTCTTTCTTTCCTTCCTTCCCTCCCTCTCTCTCTCTTTTCTTTATTCATTTGGTTTGGAAAGCAAGGGCCAAAGAAAGTGGATTTGCAGGAAAAACCAACAGTCATAGTTACTGAAAGTGTTAAAGGTTGTTTCCCCCCCCCTCCGAATTGCACTGAAAATCTCAAATCTTTCAAGAGAGAAGTTTGCTGTTACGAAATGAAAAGGCCTTGTGGCAACGCTAATTTCTCACAAAAAAGTTGAGGGGGGATTTTTGGCAGTCCCCCCTTCCCCATTCTGTCCCTGAAAGAGTTGATGGAGGAGCCTAAAGTGAGACCATCAGCCCTTTCAAAACGATGAGAAGTTTTATTTGTTGTTTTTGTTTTAAAAATGCCAGAAGTAGAAGGAACACTCAGCAGATACCAAAATTTTAAAACAAGACCCTGTTCGTCTTCAATTGGAAACAAGATGTGCTCAAATCATTAAGGCCCCAGAAGCAAAATAATAATAATTAAAACTCAGCCCAAGATCCACAGAAGGCTGCAATTCTTCCAAGAGGCTGTAAAATAAGCATAAATTGCAAATACAGTTTGGAAGAAAAAAGAAGCAGCAAAGGAACTTCCTTAACGCAGCAAAGAAAGGGTGAAGATTTCTTCCATGTTCTTTTTCACCCAAGTCCGCCTTGTAAAGTCCGAGCACAACGTGTTTTTTTCTCTCCAAGATTCCTTCAGACAATGCTGTGGTCTTCCTCACTCCTCATCGGCCACGGGGGCATGGATCTGTAAGCAGACCCATACAGAGAATCAGTGCCTTGCCTTGTGCCCAAATGCATACAGGTAGTCCTCAACTTACGACCATGTGACGGTTGCATCACTGGGGAAAAAAGTGACGGTCCTCACACTTACGACTGACACAGCATCTCCTTAGTCGCTTAATCAAAATTTGAGCTTTTGGCAACCAGGATGGTCCCAGCGTCACCCGATCTCCACTGGCAATTTTCAAGCGAGCAAAGAGCCAGGTTCGGTTAACGACCATGGCCAAAAAAAAGGTCATAAAATTTGAGCATTACTCTGCATCCGTTAGCAACGGAAGTTTCCGAGTCAAATTGTGCGGTTAAGTCGAGGACTACCTATAAATTTTAGCACAAGAATGAATTCCCATAATCCTGGCGGGTAGGTCTCAAAGAAAGCTAAAAATGAAGCAGGTGCCCAGTAGACGAACGCAATTCAAACCAAGATCCAAGTTTCTAGCCCTCAGGGACACCGTTCAGCTTTTGCTCTGCTTTGTTTCCCGCACTTCTCCCCAAAACCTTTTTGTCTGTCCCGGTATTGTATTTTAAGCACGTTGGTTTGCGTTACCCAGTTAAAAACAGGAAAAATAATAATAACAACCCCATGTGGCTTAATACAGATTTGTGAAACCAGTTTTTGATCCCGCCTCAATCCCGTTTCGCATTTCTGGATCAAACTCTGAACTCGTTGAATGAACTCTTCAGCCAGCGCGGACTTCAACTCCCAGAATCCTCTGGTTAGACCGAGGAACTCTGGGAATTGTAGTCCGGGGGGCGTTTTCTTCTTGATGCAGAAGTCATCAACCCAACACTCACCCCTCGAGCGATCGCTGGCCAGGCGAGAGCCATGACGATTTCATCGCTGTGATTTGGTGTCCGTTCGAGATTCCACACTGTCAGGGAACTGAAAGTCGATTTCACACCCACTTCCCGTTCCTGGATACAGGGAGGGGGGGGGCAAAAAAGGGGATGGTGTTGGAGGGGAGCACTGGATTTATTTGCCCACCCTACCCCAGTGTGGAAGGGTGAGGATAGGAATGACAACGAGGTGAGCTGCTTCAGGAAAAGAATCTTGCAGGCCTGAAAGTCCAAATCTCCCACTGTCTCTTTTACAGTCTGAGAAAGTAGGAAAAGTCCCGTCTGAGTCTGTTGCCCTGCCTGTTATACGTCTGAGGGCTATGCTGTCTCTGACTGTTCCTGGACGAGATCTCTTTGCTCTGTCTCCCAAGGTCTTCCCAACTTCCTCTACATAAAAGCGAAAGGCCACTCACGTATCATCATCAAAATCTCCAGAACCGTAAAGCCTACAAACTTGAAATTTGGCACGTGTGTTCCTCTTGGCTTCTAGGTGCTCACTAAGAAAGGATTTTTCCAAATGACCATCAGAGCATTAGAATTTCCTATATTATTATTTATTATTATTATTATTATTATTATTATTATTATTATTATTATTATTATTATTA